TTTTATATTTATATATTTACTTCTGTTTAGGGACCTTTGATGTTACTGTCACCAGAAGAAAAAAGTTCTTTTTATGGAATTCTAGGTTCCAATAACAGAAATTTTCACTAATCTGTGTAGGTCTGACCCTTATTTAGGTGATTGAAATAGCTCTGTACTATTTGCCACTACATGTGTTGGTCTTCCTCATGTCATCTGTCTTTCTCTCTTCTTCTGTTTTCCCTATATCCTTGTTTTGTTTTTTTGTCTTTAAGTTGCCTTTTTCTTTCTTTTGCTTTTACACGTAACCCTGTTCTACCCAAAGATTTCTAATGGCAATAATTGGACAATAAGCTTTGAGACTTCATTTTATGTGCCTCTTACTCTTAGTGTTTCTCAAAGTGTGCTTCTGGACTAGCAGCAAAACCTTAGCATCACCTTGGAATTTGGTAGAAATGCAGAGTCTGGGGCCCATCCCAGACCTGAATCAGAAACCCTGGTGGTGGGACCCAGCAGTCTGTTCAGCAAGCCCAAGAGATTCTAATGCTGGTGAACATAAGTGTTATGTGAAGAAAAGAAAAAACACATTGTAAATGGGAGTGTTGAGCTGACTGGCTATATCTTCAGCTTTGAAAGGTTAGCTCCTAGCTGTTTAAGAGCAGAACTAGTCCTATCTTTTGGAGAGATTAATACATACCTGTGAAGATTCTTGAACATTTTGTTTCATTTAGCACCTGTGTTAATTTAGGTATTCATACATCCAAAAAATGTAATATGATGAAAATATTTCCTGACAAAAATGAGATGTTTGAAAATACTTGCTTTTAGAAGTGTACCTGTGTGGGCTGAGGATGCACCTCAGTGCTACCACACTGTACCTACCTGGCAAGCACAAGGTCCTGACTTCAATACCAGGTTTCAGGGTAGGGTAGGGAGTGTATCTGTGTTATCTTTGCTATGTAAGAAAATTGTGAGTTTTATCAAATATTGAGTAGGCTTGTAGAAAAAATTTTAAAGGAAATAAACTATTTATTACTATAATTTCACAAGAGTATTATGTGAGTGCAGCTGTTAGTTTACTAGAAGTTTTTTAAGATCTGAATAATTACTTAAAAGATTTTATACATAGCTGGGGATGTAGCTCCATGGTAAAGCCCTTATCTAGTATGTCCAAGGCCCTGGGCTTGATCCACAGCAACAAATGAATGCAAAAATTCTTACCATACTGTCATTATTTATGAACTTTTTTTTGTTTTTGTTTTTGGTACCGGGGATCGAACTCAGAAACTTGCGTTTGCGAGGCAGTCTTGGTTCCACTGAGACTATGCCACTGTTGAAACTGTGATCTCAACTGTTTCTCAACCCAGTGAATAAAAATACTTTTGCGTATTTGTACAAAAGGAAGAAACAGGACTGCCTGAGATAATACTGCACTAATTGAGAAATACACAGATTTTTAAAATTAGTTTCTTTCAGGTACAGTAAAGCCTTGATTTGTGAGCAGAATTCATGCTTCCATACAAACATGCTTTTAATCCAAAGCACTTGTATATTAATGGAAATTTCCCCATAGAAATGATTGGAACCTGAGATGATTCATTCCACAACCCAAAAATATTCATATAAAATGATTACTGTAATATAATACAAAATAATAAAGAAAATACAAAATATTAAAAAAAAATAACCTCCACTTACCTTTGAAAATCTTTGTGGCTGGTGTGAGGGAGACGAGAGAGGAGGATTATTGTATAGGATGTCTTACTATCACTAATGCTGTCTATTGGCTCAATGAAATCTCTGCAGCTTTAACAAAGAACCTATCCAGTGACACTTGCTTTTGCCTCCTTTTGAGGATTTCGCAGAAATGTGACATCTCACTGTCATTAAACAGATTCTTTGCTTCCACTTCTACAGCCTTAATTGGGTGGTGCTTTTTTATACAATTTTGCACTGTTTCCCACATGTTATACATCTCCTAATCTCATTTGAAATGAAGGATTCCTCTGGCTTTTTCTCCTCCTCTGCAGACGAGAGCTCCATAACCTCTTGCTGTTGAGAGGCTGTCACCCACAATCCCGCAGTGACACAGACAGACAGAGATATAGGGAGGAACCATTGGCTCAGTTATGATCATATGATGTTCAGCATTATGTGCTATTCATAATGCAAAACATTGCTCCTTTATTAAGTTAAAATTTATAAGAAATGTTCATCATTTTAGGGAACAGTCACAGAACAAGTTACTCGTAATCCAGGGTTTTACTGTATATATGAGTGATTCACTTCAGCTGCAATAGAGGTTATTTTTTTCCCCTGTAAAAAGTTATTTTAAGGAAATAATTCTCATATTTTAAGAAAAGCACATGTTTTGATCAGATAGGAAATTATACAGTGTGTGACTCAGGTGTCCTTTTACTTTCCGGACATGGTCTGTTCTTAGCTATAAGTCATGAGCAGAACAACTCAAGCTTATTAACACAGGTAGCAAACTAAAAATAAAAGAAACATAAGTCAAAGGACCCAGTGATTTTGAATATAATAGGGTGTCATTGTTGAATTACTGGCCTCGTCAGGGTGATGCTGGTACCAATTTTGTTGTTCTTGTTTTGGCAGATCCAGGTTGATGAAGTCAGAAGGCTGGTATATTTTGAAGGCACCAAAGACTCCCCTTTAGAACACCACCTGTATGTGGTCAGCTATGTAAACCCTGGAGAGGTCACAAGGCTGACTGACCGTGGCTATTCCCACTCCTGCTGCATCAGCCGGGTATTAAGTCCCTGTTTGAAAGGGCTTCCTCTCTTATAGAAACCTTCCACCTGTGTAAGACTCTTTGAATGATGTGAAAGTTGGTGAAGTTGGGAGCAGAAGTCTCATTAGTAGCTTTAAAATGCTTAAGCCTAACTTCAGCATTTTATATATACCTAAATAGTTAAACCCTTATTTTACTCTCATCATAGCATTAATGTGGATGTAACAGCAAGTGATCTTTTTTACTTTTTCCTGAAGAAAAATGTAATTGTTTCTCTTTTTCTAGCATTGTGACTTTTTTATAACTAAGTACAGTAACCAGAGGAATCCACATTGTGTGTCTCTTTATAAATTGTCAAGTTCTGAAGATGACCCAACTTGTAAAACGAAGGAATTTTGGGCTACCATTTTGGATTCAGCAGGTACTCTTAATCCCTGGACCTGACCGTAATAGGATCAGTACAGAGCTGGGGATGTAACTCAGTGGTAGAGCACATGCCTGGGGTATGTGAGGCCCTAGATTCAATCCACAGCACTGCAAAAAACAATAAATACACTAAACCTGGGAAATAGGTGCATTTTTTTCTGGACTGAGTCTTCCCATCTCTTAGTGCTTCCTATCCATCAGCTGCTGAGCTTCTGCTTGATCCACCCGCCCTTCCTGTCAGCTGCTGAGTAAGGTGGGTTACTCTCACTCTGACCAGGAGCATGTCTGGAAAGCCCTTTGGAAAATAAGATGAAAATAATGTATCCTGAGCTAGCAAGATCTTTGAGAAGGAAGCAGCAGCTTTAGGGAATAACCAGCTGACAGTATTCTTTAAGTTTCAAAGTACAGGCAGTGCCATCATAATTAAAGATGAAACACTTGCTCTGTGTGCATTAGTTTTTGTTTTGTTTTGTTTTACTACTGGGGATTGAACTCAGGGAGCGTTGAACTGTATCCCCAACCCCCGCCTTCCTTCCTTCCTTCCTTCCTTCCTTTCTTTCCATATTATTTTGAGACAGATTCTCTCTATGTTTCCTAGGCTAACTTCGAACTCATGGCAATCTTCTACCTCAGCCTGCCAAGTGCTGGGATTACAGGATTGTGCCACTATGCTTGACTTTTTGCTTAATTTTTGCTGATCTCACTTGAAAAGGGATTAGTCAGTTACTTGTGTGTGGGGTTCTGGGTTTTGATATTTTCTTCCTTGCTCTAAGGCTGTAGGGCTCTCATGAGAGCTTTTTCAGACTTTGTATGTTACCACTCACAGGTCCTCTTCCCGACTATACGCCTCCAGAAATTTTCTCTTTTGAAAGTACTACAGGATTTACATTGTATGGGATGCTGTACAAGCCCCATGATCTACAACCTGGAAAGAAATACCCCACTGTGCTTTTCATATATGGCGGTCCTCAGGTGGGTATATATACACAAGTAAACATACGTAAATGTATTTCTAAGTGATTTGTTTTTTAAATGTCTGGTCAGTTATTTAAGACAAGAATTTTAAGCCAGCCAGGTGTGGTGTTGTATGCCTTTACAGCACTAAGAAAACTGAAGCAGGAGGATCACCACAAGTTCGAGGCCACCCTGAGCTGAGTAGTAAATTCAAGGCCAGCCTACTACAAAGCAAGACAGTTTCCCCCACTAAAAAAATAGAGAACTTTAAGCATTGTTGTGCTTTTACCATTCTCAGCTTTTCTAATTATCCAGTTATGAGTTTAGAAAGCTGGGTATTTAAATTAGATGGCTAATTTCTAAATCAGCACAAATTTCTTCATAATGATGACTGTTAACTTTTTGAGCAGTAGAATATTCATGTCAGTGGATAAATATACTGCTTTCTATGTATAGAAATTTGGGAAATGAAAAAATAATTAAATGTCTTGGACAAATAGTCATATTTTCAGAAAGCCTACTGAATTCCTCCCCTTCATTCTAAGCTTGATCTCTACAGCAAACTAGAAAACTTTTATCAGCTTAGGATAACAACTGTTGTACTACTCCTTAGTACCTTAGTACTGTCAAAAGTTTACACCTTGAGTTTCCATTTTCTGAATTAAATATTAGCATGTGACTGTTAGGTAAATACTGGTCACTAACGAAGTAACGTACTTTGGATAGATTAATTGGTTAATTTTTTAAATGTTCAGGG